AAGATATTATGATCTAGCAGTAGTGTTGTTATTGCTGCAGAGTGGTACTTGCTGTCTTGCTAAAAGTTTCCTTTTCCATTACAGTATGGAAACAATTACTCTTGGGGATAAACGGATTGGAATCAAGACTAGTGTCCTGGAGGAAAAAGCTACAGCTTGCAATATGCTGTGTTGCTATGCTGATGAGTTGAAAGAAGGATTCTTTCCGTGGATTGATCAGGTCTTTCATAGCGGGCCTTGTTTTTTTCTTGCCTGGCTTTCTCTAATATGAAACTTAAAAAGGTCATATTTTTGTGTAGGTTGCTCCAACTTTGGTTCCACTTCTTAAATTTTATTTCCATGAAGAGGTTAGGAAGGCGGCTGTTTCAGGTAGTATTGGTTTTTAATATTAGACATTCTTGTTTTCCCATTCCTCTTCACATGTTGTTGGAGGTTTGTTTCATTTATTGATTAAGAAAGATCATCTTTTTGTTTCTAGCAATGCCGGAGCTACTGCTTTCTGCAAAATTAGCTATAGAGAAAGGGCAAGCTCAGGGTCGTAATGAAACCTATATAAAGCAATTGTCTGACTACATTGTCCCAGCTCTGGTGGAAGCATTACACAAGGTAGTTTATTGTTTGTCAATTAAGCCTCGATGAGGGGTGTAATGATATAAATTTTTCCTGAAGTATGTGAGTGCAATTTGTATGCAGGAACCTGATACAGAAATATGTGCAAATATATTGGACGCATTAAATGAATGCTTACAGGTCGGTCATAAATTTAAGAAATTTAGTAAACTTCTTTTATGGCATGGTTTGTTTAAGTTTTTGCACTTAGTCTGCATGAATTCACATTTTCAGTAGTTATGGAGTTAGTATTTTTTTTCCCTAGTACTCTGGAACAACGTTGTCAATTTACTTCTTGCTGGGTACAAATAGACGATGCATCCAGAATGTAATTGGATGATGGATACTCCTTACCTTGCCCTGTTTTGCTACTGTTATTCTTAATTTATTTTCTTTTCAAATGAAAAAAAATGGTTTGATTTACAAGAACTTTAGTAATTAAATCTGTCATTAAGATTTTGGACCTTAACTTTGAGTTGGTGGCAGTCACTGCTGTATAAAACTATATGGTTACTCTATTATTTTTGTTTGCATGGAAGATTCGTGTAGCCACCCAACTGTTTCGGAATAAAATTTTATTTGAGTATGAATCCATCTTATATTGTGCCTTATTTCTTGAGTATGTACCCATTCATGCTTGCTTTGTATCCTTTCTTTTAGATATCTGGACCACTTTTAGATGAAAGCCAGGTCAGATCCATTGTGGAGGAGATAAAGCTGGTGATAACTGCCAGTTCAAGTAGAAAAAGAGAAAGAGCAGAAAGGACCAAAGCCGAAGATTTTGATGCTGAGGAAGGGGAGCTCATTAAAGAGGAAAATGAACAAGAGGAAGAAGTTTTTGATCAAGTAAGTTTTTTCAAATACAATCCTTCAGTAGCACATCAATAATACTGATGTTTGTTTGTGTGGCCGTTGTTTGTATATTGGGGATATTTGTCATGGTTATTTTAAACCCTATTTTCTGGTACCAGGTGGGAGAGATCTTGGGAACTTTGATCAAAACGTTTAAAGCCTCTTTCTTGCCTTTCTTTGACGAGCTATCATCATATCTGACACCTATGTGGGTAAGTTCTGTCTCAAGGAAGCACTTTTTTTTTTCAGGTTCCAACTTGAAGAGTTAACTTGTTCAC